GCGAGAACGTTTTTACCAGAAATCCCAAGATCATAACCAAAGATTAATCCACCCGAAGCAGCAACAGCACAAGCGAAAAAGACCTTCCAAGTAAAATTTCCGGCATAGCTTTTCCCGGGACCAGAAGAGATACCTCCACCGCCGCCCATTCTAAGAACTCTGAAGCAAAGGAAATCGCACCGGCACCAAAGGCGTGAGGTAAAGTAGAAAGATGATGATATGTTTCGTATGTTTAATCTTATATAAATAATGTATATGAAACCTATCCTATTTCAACTTTACTCCTAATAATACTACAACTAAATCTCTATTTATTCTTCTTTAACTTCTGAAACATTAATATATTGCGTTTAGAGTTTGATTAATATATGGAGATGGAGAGGGAGAGAAATAGAAGAGATGAAGTACACACACATGGGTATTGTTTTAGGTTATATTAATTTATTTTTGGATTAATTTCATTTAAGTCCCCCATCTTTAGCCACATATTTGTATTTTTGTCATTGAGTTTGGACTATTATGAATTTTATTCTGGATCATAGGGTCTGATCATGATAATTTACCTTATTGTTTTGCTGAAGTATTTATTAAGAAGTTTTAGGATTAATCCTTCTTAGGTCCCTAACATTTATGGGCCTTTTTATGAAATAGTCACCCCTTCCTCATTTTTTTAATTATTTTGAATATAATGCTCTAGTTTCATTAGTTTTATTTTAATCACTCATTTATATTTTTTATTTCGAAATTAGCTGTGATATTTTTATTTTCTTTCATTTTGGTCACTATTTTATTTATAATCTACTCACTGTTATTATTTTATTTTGATCTCTATGCTTTACTTTATTATATTTTAGTCATTTTAATTCTATATTTTAATATTCTGAACTATTTTATTTTTATTATGTTTTAAGATAAGCTGTGCAAAATTTAAAAAAAAAATCACGATCGCGACACCCGCAGTGAATGCGATGACATCTGTTATGTCTGCAACCGCGATAAATGCGACATATCCGAAAACGTGACCACGAATGCTATTTAAAACCTTGCCCCTTATCCAACACGAGCATTGTTTAAACATCCATTGTCACTCTTCAATCAACATAGACAACTATCACAACTTAACTCTCCATCATCATGCACCCTTTCTTCTCATTCCCAACATTATACAAACACTTGGAAGCCATGCACTACCTATGCACCCCTGAAGCTTAAAAAATAAGGAAAAGAAAAAGAAAACTCAAAACAAAACTTTAAACCCCAAACACCCAAAACCTTTTAGAACAAGTGTGAAACACCCAACAAGAAACTTCATCCTTGCATCATCCTTAAAATCGAAGACCTCCGAATGTACCCATTTAAAACACTCTCTAAATTATACAATCAACATAATTTATCATAAAATATCAAGACCAATTTAACACCCAAAGATTAAAACCTCAAAAAATTGATTTTGAATTCGAGAGAGCATCAGAGGTAGAGAAAAACAAAGGATAAAACAAAACTAAAATAGCAGTGAAAAAGAAATAAATAAAAATAAAATAGAGGTCTCATTCTCTAGCATCTACATTTGAGTCGAAGGTGGCGTAGATTGTTTAACTTTGCTTTAAGTCGTCGATGGTGCAAACTATTTATCATTGTTTTGAACGAGCCTTTGTACAACTTGTTTAGCTTTTACCAAAACAATGTCGAGGATTTGAGAGTTAAACCGATCATATTATTGTTAATGACCGAATGGGTGACGGAGAAAGAGAACAAATGGATGAAGAAGATGAGCGAGAAATGAGCAGTGATGAATGAAAATAATATAAATAAAATATTAATTTAATTTAAAAATTTAATAATAGGGTCATGTCATCTCAAAGTTATGGAAAAATAGACGGAGTGAAAAATAATTTAATATATAAAGTTCAGTGATTAAATTAAAAAAAAAATTAAAAGTGCAGTGAGTGAAATAGAAAAGAAAATAAAGTTCTTATAATTATGTAATTTACCCTTAAAAATAAATAAATAAATTTGTGGGTAAATTGCATTGAATGGTTCCTGAACTTTCATAGCATTTGCATTTGGTCATCATATTTGTAAAATTTGTAATACAATCATTAAACTCTTAATCCACTTTCATTATTCATGGTTGTCAATTGTCTTAAAGATAAGTTGATATGTTAAAGTTTTTTCTCCCCCTCCTAAGTTTCTCATACTTGAAATTAAAAACGGCCACTCTTTTCAATGTCTTTTTATCAACGTTCGATGGTTTCTTTGATAAAAAAATATTATTAAACTACTCTTCATCTTTTCTCTTTCTTTCTTTTGGTTCAAACTCGTCGCTCCTTCTTTCACATGTTTCCTATTGTAATTTGATGGTTTATCCAATCAAAAAGATAATTGAATTACTCTTCTTATTTTTTTCTTTTGGTTTAAACTCGTCGAAAAACCTTCCAATTTCCTAGCCAAACTATGTTCATCTTCTAATCACCATCAACTGTTGAATCAACTTAAAATCGAACCATGTTAATTTTTTAGTCAAATGAAACCTTCTCATCATTAGAATTGACTCATATCCGCTCCATTCATCAGAAATTCACCACGGTCGAGATGAATAGTTTTCATTTTATCTTTACTTCTTTTGTTTTTTTTTTATGTTGTTTCTTGTATTTTGTTATTGATAGTTGTGATTGTGGAAGTTGATAGAATAAGATTGTTGATGGTGGCTTGAGTTTTGGTTGGCTTGGTTGTTGCTCGTGATTGTGGTGTTTGAGACTTAGATGAAATGATGATGATGAATGATTCGATAGTGATGGAAAGATTATGGAATGATTGAGTATGGGTGTTGCATTTAGTGATTATAATGATTGGAAGAACATTGGGGATGATGATGAAATCGAAAGTAGGTTGGTGGTTGCCAATTTAAAAGTCTTTTTTTTTTAGAAAAATACTTTAACGTGACAGGTTAGCTTTTATTAATAGCTTTGATTGTAATGAAATCAAATTAAAAGTTTAGTAATTATATTACAAGTTTTGAAAGTTTGGTGACCCAAATACAAGTTTCTAAAAGTTGAGATACCATTTATGTATAGCTTATAATAACAATATTTTAAAAAAATAGGGTAAAGTATAGTAATGGTCACTGAACATTTTTAAAGCTTGCATTTAGATCCCTCAACTTTTAAAACTTACAATACAGTCTCCCAACATTTAATCCACTTGCAATATGGGCCCGCGCCTATGAAAATTAGGGTAAATTATATAAATGGTCACTGAACTTTTCAGGCACTTGAATTTAGGTCCCCTAACTTTTTAAAACTTACAAAACATTCCTCAATTTCATTGTAAACCCCAAATTCCAAAGTAATTCAATTTCATTCTAAACCCTAAATTCCAAAATAATTCAATTACATTCTAAAACCCAAATTCTAAAATATTTCAATTTAAGGAGGAATATACTAGATTATCTTTAAGAACGTGATAGCGTTTTGATTTTTTTACTTTTGTGAAGAAAACAAATACACTCCCTCCTCGTAAATGTAAATTTAGTGACCTTCAATAATTTAAATATAAAAAATGATTATGGAAGAAATTGAATAAAAAAACACAATCTCTCAATGAAAAAATTAAGAATCAAAATCCCCAATTGATATCCTTATAATTTTTATTTATTTCAATTATAATTTAGTTTTTTAATAGTTTGATGTGATTATAAGATAGTATTTATTCAAATTTTTTAATTTATTAATAATATAGATATACCCTACAAACACAATTGTTTGAATTTAAAACTTTGAAAGAAAATAACATTTTTTACCTATGAAACCACTTAACGAGTTATAATATAATTTTGTTAAGTGTATTAGAAAATTAAAAAAAATAGATCGTGCTAGAACTAAAAGAATACGTGACCATGAAATAGAAAGTTTACGTACGTTACGAAAACATGGCATAAACCACATCTCTTTTGAGTTGATTGTTATCATCAACTTAGGGTATATTATATTAAATTATTGATTTTTTTTATTTTTTTTTGAAGTAGTCAACTTCAGTGTTTATTTTTTTATTGGGTTTTTTATGATTTTATTAAATAATTTTTATACAAAAAATATTCGATGTAATAAGTAAATAAATATTTAATTATCATGGTAATATTTATATTTTAATTATAATAGAAATAATATAAAAATAAAATATATTTATACATCATTACTATAATTAACATAACTCATATATAAAATTTTGACTCTGCTATTTATGTAGTCTTAATATTTATATGAAAGATATAAAATATATTAACACGTATAATTAGATATAAAAACATACACAAATAATTAGAAATATATTTATTTTTAAATAAATGAATTATTATCATATATTCTTACTATTGAAAAATTTTCATGTCTTTAAATTAATATTAAAAAAGTATCATATGTTTTTAAATATAAAAAGTAAATTAATTAATAATTTAGTGACATTCGTGTCGTTTATAAAAAAAAGACAGAAATTGAAGTATTTTAGAATTTGGGTTTTAGAATGTAATTGAATTATTTTGGAATTTAGGGTTTAGAATGAAATTGAATTACTTTGGAATTTGTGGTTTAGAATGAAATTGAGGATGGTTTTGTAAGTTTTAAAAGTTGGGGGACCTAAATTCAAGTACCTAAAAAGTTTAGTGACCATTTATATAATTTACCTTAATTTTCATAGGTGCGGGACTATATTATAAATGGATTAAATGTTGAGGGACTGTATTACAAGTTTTAAAAGTTAGGAGACCTAAATACAAGATTCAGAAATGTTCAGTGACCATTACTATACTTTACCCTCGATCAATCAACGAGATGAGGGAATAAAATCCATAATTGTGCTTAAGGCTTAAGCAACCTGACTACGTCCCTACATGTCTTTCCGTTTTTTGTTTTATCGACGATGAAAAAGCAGAGTTTGGTTCAAAGCTCCTCCGTCTCAGATACAACAAGCTTGACGTGACCTTCCCTACCATATTAAAACCCAACTCTCCACACTCCCCAACCCAAACATGGCTTATTCTTCTTCTTCAATCCACTTCCTTCTCCTCTTCTCTTTTCTATTCACTTCTCTCGCTCGTCTCTCTCCCGAGACCACCACGACTACCCTCGATGTCGCTTCGTCTCTTCAACAGGCTCAACATATTCTCTCCTTCGATCCACAATGTGTAGAACCTTTCTCTCAGGCCCAAAACCAACCCCTTTTCTCCAACTCTTCTTCCTCTTCTGTTTTCTCTGTTCCACTCCACTCTCGGGGATCCTTGCACAAAACCCACCACACCGACTACAAAAATCTTGTGCTATCCCGACTCGAGCGTGACTCTTCCCGAGTCGACTCACTCACTACCAAACTCCTCTTTGCCCTTAATGGAGTCGAGAAATCTGAGCTGAAGCCGGTGCCGACCAAGATCCAAGCTGAGGCGCTTTCTACGCCGATTATTTCCGGGACAAGCCAAGGGAGTGGGGATTATTTCACCCGGGTCGGAGTCGGTAGCCCGGCTAAACAATACTACGTGGTTCTCGATACCGGGAGTGATGTTAACTGGATCCAATGTGAACCCTGTGCCGACTGTTACCAACAATCCGACCCCATTTTTAACCCATCCGAATCCTCCACTTACAGTCCTATTACTTGCAAGTCGAGGCAGTGTACTTCTCTAGAAGTTACCGCTTGCCGTAGAGGGAAATGCTTATACCAAGTCTCGTACGGCGATGGGTCATATACTGTCGGTGATTTCGTCACCGAAACAGTGTCGTTCGGTAACTCCGGGAACATCAAAGGCATCGCTTTGGGTTGTGGCCATGATAATGAAGGCTTGTTTGTTGGAGCGGCGGGTTTGCTTGGACTCGGCGGTGGAACCTTGTCTTTAAGTTCGCAGATCAAAGCGACATCGTTTTCTTACTGTTTAGTGGATCGTGACTCGAGCGGTTCGTCGACTTTGGATTTCAACTCCGGCTTACCAGCCGACTCGGTGGTCGCTCCATTAATGAAGAGCGTGAAGATCGATACGTTTTATTACGTCGGTCTGACCGGGTTCAGTGTAGGAGGCCAACCGGTTCAAATCGCCCCAGAGCTCTTCGACATGGACGATTCGGGCGAAGGAGGTGTTATCATAGACTGCGGGACCGCCATAACTCGGCTGCAAACTCAGGCGTACAACGCGCTCCGAGACGCGTTCGTGAAACTGACGAAGGACTTGCCGAGCACGAGCGGGGTGGCGTTGTTCGACACGTGTTACGACCTGTCTTCGAGGAGCAGCGTGAAGGTGCCAACGGTGTCGTTTCATTTCGGCGGTGGGAAATCGCTGGATTTACCCGCTAACAACTATCTAATACCCCTGGACTCGTCGGGTACGTTTTGCTTCGCGTTTGCTCCTACGTCGTCGTCTATGTCGATCATCGGTAACGTGCAACAGCAGGGGACACGTGTCAGCTTCGATTTGGTTGATAATAGGATCGGCTTCTCTTCACATCAATGTTAAGACATAATTTACAGCCTTTTAATCTCTGGTTAAAAAAAGGGGTTTAACTAGTAAGATTTTGTTTTACATTCAGTCGAGTGGGGCAGCAGATTAAAAGAAGGTTGGGTCCCACTCGAACAAATACCAAAGGGAAAGAAACAAACTTTAGGGTTTTAAATCTGCATTAACTTTAGTAGTAGAATATTTTACTTATTCATTGTAAAATCAGTCCAGAATTTCATGATAATATTAGTTTTTTATTTTCACTTTTATTAATTTCGTTAAATAAGTATTACTTTTTCTGAAACTAAATAAATTAAGACACGGGTGATGTATGGTCCCACCTCCAGTGGGTATGTTGGTACCATTTTCGGCAAGCTTTATAATATTTGTATCGTCGCTTATTAGATGACACGAACAAGATTCCACAGCAACTTTGATCCGGGTCCCACCATTTCCCGCCAATCCAGATGCAATAAACTAATATGCATCCTAATTTAAGGTTATAAAATAATAATTTTTAGTTATAATTGGAAATGTACTAAAAATTATAATATTTTAAATTGAATGTAATCTAAAATGTTATTTTTATATTATTTTTTAATTAGAAATATTATTTTTTTATAATTTTTTTTATTGAGAACCGAATATATTATATTTTTTATAATTGTTTTTTAAGTTTAAATTAAGTTGCCAAGGTTTGTAGATAATTCTATTGCTTGCAAAATTATAAGATCAATTTTTTTTTTTTATAATAGGATTTAAGTTCTGCTCAGTTTCTTTTATTTTTCTTGAAATTGTAAAATAAGTTAAATACACCTATTACATTAAAAATAAATATATAATTTAATATATTTTTGGTAAAAATAATTTTACCAGTAAAATTCAGATAATATTAAAGTTGTTTTTAAATATATTTAAAAATTATAAATAAATAAAAATTCATTTGACATCATCTAAACACCTTTTAAAGATGTATCAAATAATAATGTAAATAAAATGAAATGAAAATGTTCATATTTCTTTACCACATGACAATGCAACATACTTTACTAGATTCCAGTTTACACTCTTCTTGGAGCAGTATAATTCATTTGAAATTCTAATTTTTTTGTCGTGTTTATGTTGATCAAGAAAAAAAAATTAATGACCATTTTATAATAACTCAATAAATTCAATAATCATTTTACAACTTCTGAAACTTCGTTAATCAAAAAGATTATTTCAAGAAAATATTTTTGTGACAATTAATGTGTTTTACCTTTAAAATTTTTGTTTGATGTATGTTTAAACTAATTATCTACAAAAATAATTAAAATAAAGTTAAAATTTCACTAGAAAAAAAAGTAAAATAGTGACAATACGCATCTTCTATAAAATGTTAAAAGTAGAATTGTTTTTAATAATATATTGTTTATCTGATTCATTGATGATACATAAAATTATATATTTAATGTATCATATATCCACCCTTAAAATTTAGAGGATTTAACTTTCTTCTTTTTATTATTCATAAATATATATCTTTATCTTGTTTTTTGGACACCCCCTGATTCAAAGAAAAGTGGAGGACACTTAAATTGAAGATGCATCAAAGAAGATGACTTTTTCCTTATATAATGCATGTTCTGATATGTCTGGATTCCTATCATGGTCTGCCCTACAGTAAGCCAAGCAGCCTCACCATCGTTAACCTTTCAAAGCATAGAAGATAGCAGCTCAACACAGATAAAGCTTCAATATTTCAGCAAAATCAACAATCAGATTCATCACCGGAAGTACGAAGGTTTACGGGTAATTTTTTTTTTTTGAGTTATTCAAATTGATAAGTCCAATTTTATAACTCAAATTTGATTTGAAATTTTTTAATGTTGGACATAATTTATAAAATTTGAGTCAAATCGAGTTGTTCTTATTTCGATTTAAATTTAATTGTAAATATTTATAATATTATGATATTATTTGCTTCCAATTTAAATGATTTTCTATAATCAATATGTAGATATTTATTCATTTTTTTCATGTGATATACATATATCAAATTCGAAAGACTCAAACTTAAAAATCAATCCACTAATAACTAAAAATTTCAAGTTATTCGAGTTGTATTTTATAACTCAATTTGAACTTGAAATTTTTTCGAGTCGAGTTAGGTTTATAAAATTATAACTCAAAATAAATTCAAGATCAAGTCGAGTCAAAATGATTAATCTTTTGAATGCACGAAATGAAAGGATTTGTTTTAAAACCATTATAAGGACCAGCAATTGGAATACTTGGGAAAGTTGAGAAACCAAATCTCATGTTATGGTCGTTAATAGCACAAGAGAATGACACTAAAATGCCTCTTAAAACACATTAATCAGCTAACACTAACCACTTCAAGTGGCCAAAGAAGGGCTAAGCTCATTCAATGTATTGAAAGGCTGCACTTTAGGTTTCAAAACTTTAAAAAGATTTATTGTTTCAATTGTCAAACAAGTTCCCGACTATCTTTTCAGACGGAATAAGAATTTTAACAGCTATAAATAAGAGTCTTATATCATGAAATTTCTCACTAGAACAATAAAACTCAATCTAACCTCCCTCAAAGCATATCCAACCCAGATGACCCCAAAATTGCACCACCCCACACGCTTAAGCAGCAAGAGTGCTGGCAGTTGTAGATTCGCTGCAAACCAAGAAGTCGAATCAGTATAGCAACATAAAAAGCTTCTAAGGAAACATATATATACAGTCAAGACATATAGGAATAGACACACATGGCACATCTATAACAAAGGACAGCACGAAGAAAACAATCAAAACAAATGGAGGGCAAGTTAAAATGTTTCAAATGATCTAATGCTATGGCTTTAGATGTTAATACATGACAACACATATCAAAACATTTACCGAAATGGATCTTGTACATAGTTTCTAATACTTCCCGCAAATTCTGAATGGATTCCATGCAACTCAGTCTAAGAGATTCACATATAAATAGAATTATGCAAGCATAGTGATAACTCTTAAGTTCAACCCTGGAACCACCATAACATACTGCACTGCACACATCAGAGCCAAAAATAACATGCATAGAGGAATATAATAAACAATTCGAGTTGACCAATTAGACATTAATTGGAGAAAAAATGCTCAGAGATCAATCTTGAAATTGCGTAAAAACCATTATCGGACTGCAAACAGTGAGCACAAATGCATCGGAGGTTCTGCTGTGAACGGTTAAAATACGGCTAAAAAAACGGCGTGACTAGTTAAATAGATGACCGATTAAAAGCACTACTGTAAATGTTATATGTTTTCACTGGAAATATAATTTGTGTTGGTAATAATAATGGTAATAACCGGCAATATCATTATTGTATGTAAAATGCGCCAATTTTTTTTACTTTAACATAACCGGTTAATTACTAGAAATATTATCAACCATAATAACATAACAAGTAGCGCTTATTTAACATAATAGGTAGTGTCTTTTAAAAGCTGATGGGACCTTAGAAATCTAACGATAACAAAATAGGCTAATTACTTAATTTGTTATCAATATTATCAACATATTAGGTAACGCCTAAAATGTTACCAAAGTTTAAGTTGATGGAGCCTTAGAAATCCGACGATAATAACATAAGTTAATTAATGTAAATATTATAAACCATAATAACATAACAAGTAGCGCTTATTTAATGTAATAGGTAGCGTCTGTTTAAAGTTGATGAGACCTTAGAAATCCGACGATAACAAAATATGTTAATTACTTAATTTATTTTTAATATTATCAACATATTATCATGTACATTGTTAATTTAGCTATTACTTTAAAGTAATAAATTTCGAAATTATAAGTATCGATACTATTGGGACGGTCGGCGCACCCCATGGCGTAGCGGAAACAAAATTTGACGGTCTCACCAGCGATCCAAGTATGAAAAACTGAAATCGGGAGGAAGAGATGCGAATACTTACAGTGGTTTCCTTGAAAAACAGCAAGGACAACAGTGAATATTGGTTGTGTTAGATCGCTTTGAATCTTAAGCCTCCACGAAATCACGTCTCGGCCTCTACTCAGTTCACCCGATTAAGAGCAATCTTTGTTTTCCCCAAAACTCTTTTGAGAGAAAACGGCTGAAGGTTTTGAGTGTGTGTTGTACAATGGCTGCTAGACCTAACACACCCTTTTATAGCCAAGTTACCCTAATCATATTAGGGTTTTATTATTTCAAATTAATTAAATCTATATTTAATTAATTGGAATTTAATAATCCTCTTATATCCAAGTTACCCTAATCATATTAGGGATTTTATTATTTCAAATTAATTAAATCTATATTTAATTAATTGAAATTAAATATTCAGGATTATTAAAACATATATTTAATTAACTCTAGATATATATTTTAGTAACGTACAACAATTGTACATCTTTGCTCGTTTCAATCCTAGGGTGTGACCTTGTAGGTTCTTGTAACGTTGGCAGTAATTATTAGAACAATTCTAATATTACATACAATGAGTGATATCTAGCAATATATCATTGTCACCTAAGTTACAAGAAAATATGATTCGACATATCATCTTGGTGATTACTCTTTTATGTATTATATCATTATGTCCTTTATATCTAGAATAGGCACAAGTCTTGGAATAGTCACACTTGTATAGCCCATCTATTGTTTCTTGATATCTAGAGTATACTTTAATTAACGAATAGTTTATGTATCTCATATCAACTTATTCGAGCATGACCATGCGTTTCTAGTCTTACTCAATCAAGTGGCCTGTGATATATTTCTTATTATGTAGGAAGGACAAATCCTATCTTAATCATACACACCCACTAAGATATATTCAATAACAGTCTTTATAGAGCAACCAGTTACGGAGCTTGTTTAGCTGCATCAAAACATACAACAAGATATGTTGGGATAGTATTGATCTCAAGTCTGAGGATCATACATATAGTCATCACCATGAGCAATGTTATGAATGTCACATAATAATCCAAGACATATGCTCATGGTCGGTCAATCCAATACATTGTTCTCTAATAATATAATCATGTATCAATTCTGACATCTCTATGTCAATAACAACTCATTGTCATCAATCAATAACATGTTAGTCTTAAGCATATTATTATTGTCCATGCCTATAATAATACTTGACTAGGGATCTTTTAATAATAACAATTATGTCATTATATGGACTTTATTATCTTTCAGTTTATGTTAAACACACATATATAAATGAAAATAATAGCGGCAATGCCTTT